GAGTTTTCGGGTGAGGAGATGGCAAAACTGGTATTTAGGGAAATTTTTCGACTTCATGGGATTCCTACAGATGTGGTTTCGGATCGGGGGCCTCAGTTCATCTCTCATTTCTGGCAACGGTTTTTGCAGCTGCTTGGAGTGAAGGCCAACCTCTCTTCGGCATATCATCTTCAAACTGATGGGCAGTCCGAGCGAATGATTCAGATGTTGGAACAATTCTTGAGGTGCTTCATCAACTATCATCAGGATAACTGGTTCAATATCCTTCCCCTTGCTGAGTTCTCCTATAACAACTCTGTTCACTCCTCTCTTCAAATATCCCCCTTCTTTGCAAACTCTGGTCGAAATCCCCAATTCAATCTCTCACTTCCTTCTCCATCCGAATCCTCTTATTCAAATCCCCGCTCTGAGTCATTTGTCTCCAACTTCCAAGAAATCCACAACTCCATCTCCTTCCACCTCCATTGTGCTCAGGAATCTCACAAAACATTTGCCAATGTCCATCGTCAGGATTGTCCCCCTTACAATATCGGGGATAAAGTTTGGCTCCTTAGGTGAAATATCTCCACCATCAGGCTCTGTCCAAAACTTGATTTCAAACGCCTCGGTCCTTTCCCTATCACTGCCATCATTAATCCTATCACTTATTGCTTTGCACTTCCCTCCTCATATCAAATTCACCCCGTTTTTCATTCCTCTCTCCTTGAGCTTTATATTCTCAGTCCTATTCCCAATCGGGTCATTCCTCCACCTCCACCAGTGCAGTTCAAAGATGGGTCTGAGTACAAGGTTTAGGACATCCTTGATTCCAAGATTTCACAGTCTAAACTCTACTATCTAGTCGACTAGAAGGGTTACGGGCCTGAAGAACGCACTTGGGAACCTGCGGACAACCTGATTCATTCTTCTAACCTTGTTCAAAACTTCCACCATCGCTATCCTTCTCGTCCCAGTCCTCATTCTTTTTCTCCATCTCCCATCCCTCGCCGCTCATCTCATCCTCCTCGTCGTTCTCATTCACATCCTCGTTCCACTTGTTCTTGAGGAGGGGGTGCTGTCAGGAATCCCCCAATTCTTGCCACATTCCTGACTCTCGCCAGATTCCTGACCTGCAAACCACATTCTTGATTCTCGAGACACTTCCCTATTTCTGACTCTCGAGACACTTCCCTATTCCTGACTCTCGAGACACTTCCCTATTCCTGACTCTCGAGACACTTCCCTATTCCTGACTCTCTGATTTCCTGTACAATTCCTGAGTCTCGAGCCACATTCCTGATATTGATGTGGCACCTCCTTGACATCAGCTATATTTAGGCCGTCCTCGATCCAAGAGTGGTGGAGCTTCATCAACCTATAGTATATATAGGTTAGCCTTGTTCCATTTCTCCACAATCTGAATCAACGCCAGTCTAAGGCCTTTTCTTTGTTTCCACTAGCTTTTCTCTTTGTCTTTTGCATTTTCCAGTCTTGATTTTGTTGGGGGGTCTTGACATTAATGTCCTGAAATTGCAAGATCTCTGACTGCCACATTCCTGCTCACTCTCATTGATCACACAAACACAAACCCATACACAAGAGCAGGCATTTGTCATATTTGTGTTTTACCTAATAACAAACAAAAATGTTGTGATCCTCCCCATGGATGATGGGCTTGTTGTGTTTTGGAGCAACCACAACAACCTAAAAACAGTCATGCACCCATTGGCAAGCAAAAGATCATCTTGATTTTTCCAAAAACCATGGAAACCAAAGTTGGTCTAGATATGCAATTTGAGGGTTGGGGGAGCCTCCTAAACTTCTAGATCTCAAACAACTGCCATTGCAAAATGAAATACTAATTAGACCATAGAGAAACAAACTACATAAGTGTTTCTGTCTATTCTTGCAAGCTAAGCTATACTATTATTTCCAAACCATCACAACAATTTTTCTCAAAACCATAGCTACTAACACTCTTTTAAACCTAGCCCAAACTGAAAATGAACAGCAAAGGGAGGTTGGGAAATCCTGGACCCACTAGGTGAATACAAATGTATAAAAATTCAAAATATTCTATGCAAACTTAAATGAGTAAATACCTTTTTGGTATTAAAGTAAGATTATTTATATAGAAAGGGATAAAGGTATAAGAATCTAAAACACCTTTTTTCTCAGGAATATTGAAAAAAGATGAAGTTTCTAATATTACTTTTGTAGAAAATTAAACTTATGCCAATGAAACAGAATGTGAAAAATTTTGCAAAATGGAAAGCTAAGAATGCATTGTGTAATGACGTAATGGACATGTCCAAGACATGCACATTGTCATGGGTGACATAGTTGCCACAGCTCAGAGAAAAGCCACCCTCATAGCACAATTTAACACAAAGATAAAAAAAAAAAAACAATAACCTTACTAATACACACATTTTGCAAATTCTGTGGGAGGTGAAGTTCTTGGTTCAGTTCATGCTGAATAGTATGAGTTATTGGTAATACCCAAGAATTCATCTCATATTCATGTGGCAACCATAAATGACAATTGGCACGGATCTAAAGAAGTCTACAAGGCAAAAACTTGAGCATGAGAAACACCACAAACATAAAAAATCATGCCAATTGTGTCTTTGGCCAATATAATTCACAGCCAATTGCCCTTGAGCAGTCCTATGAGAGTGTGACAGCTGTTGCTCCCCCAGCTCATTGCCCAAGATACATGTTGCACTTTGTTCTTCTCTAGCAAAATGGTTTGCAGGTGTCCTATTGGCCAAGAGCAAAAGACTTCACTCTGGCCCCAAAGATGACAGTTGAAGTATAATTTGATTGGTTCATTGCATAGAAAATCTCTAAAAGAAAACAAATAATATATATAGAGTAAAATAAGCTTACAAATAAATCTATTACCAACACCAATTCTAAATAGTGATTTTGTGTCGGGGACTAAGATCGATAGCACAAGTTTGCACAGTTCCTTATGTGTGCTTGGCTCCTTGTGCTTGCGGGGAGTGTAATCAAACCTTAAGTATAGTACAACCTTTCCCCATCCAAAATCAACACTATACACAGGGAAACTTGCAAGCTCGTGCTGTAGATCCTAGTCCCTGACACAAAATCACCATTTAGATTGATCTTCCTTCCTCTGCACAGCTCCATCTCCATCCAGTCGATGGTGGATTGCATGTGTTCTTGAGTGGTGCTTAGGATACGTGGGTGTGTAGAAACGCTGCTGGCAAACGCACCAATACCTCCTCCTCGATTACCTGGAGTAACAAATAGATCCTCGTGGAAGAGCCTGACAGCATAGGAGAGATGGCGGGATTTAATGTCCCCGGCCTTGGCAGTGAGGCATGGTGAGTGGATGCTGTTGCCAATGTATGAGGCTGGGACTGGGAGGTTCCAGCGGTTCTTGCCCTTGAGAGAGATCACATAGACATAGCTTGTGATGATTGAGTCTTGGATCTCTGGCCTCAGTGATGGCTTTCCGAACGAGGTTGGAGGGCGGCCATAGCTGTACGGACCACTGTGAACGTCTCGGGTAAGATCGTCGACTTGGTCAGGATCCCTCAAACATCTTCACTGCGTACTCGGATGTTACTTGGCCGAGTGAGTGTTATAGACCGGAGAGGAGTAGTAGTCGCGGACTGGCAGAATGATCTCTGGGGGCTGCCTGGCCTGGAAAATGTTAGAGGCAAATACCGGAGGCCTCAAAAGCGGTAGGCCTCGGTGGATTTCGGACCAAGCGTTCACAAACGCAAAGAATGAGGATCCATCCAGCACCACTTCGGCCACTAAGATCCCCAATGCTATCCCACCACACTTGAACTTCGTCACCTAGATTCAGGAATTCCATGAATATTTAGGAATTAACTGCGATATCAAGAAACCTGCTTGAACTTTGAAGATCGGAGCAGTGTCTGGATCCGTAATGGCCACTTCTGAAGGATTGAGATGCTGCTCGATGGAGCAAAACGCCATGTTTTTCCAATCGCTGAAGCTGGCATCAGGGGCACTCGCCTCCACAAACAAGATGCCAGCATCGTTGCAATCCACCTCCAGCTTGTGACCATCTTCCGCCCTGCGCACCCGCCCTGCCAAGACATAAAACGGGACAAGCACTCTGGACAGCGAAGCTCTCAAGCTCGCGACAAGATCATCCCTGCTAGATGGCGGGAAATAGTAGACTTGCTTGGTGTAATTCTCAAAGGAGATGTGGGTAAAGGTGTTTATATTTATTGTTTTATCTTGAATTTAGTTTTGCATTTTCATTAGTTATGTTAATCATCTAAATAAAGGTGTTTAAAGTAAAAAATGATACAGGTTGATTATTCTCACAGAGCTCCCGATTATTTTCCAGCACAAAGAAGAGCATTCTCTTTCGTAGTGGAAAGAAACAAATGGCTTAATGAAGAGGTTAGGGCAAGCCCGTAGGCATGCTTGTACTGAACTTGGAGGACTGTTTTGTTCGACGTAAGTAGTATACAGGTTTCTACAGACCACGTTAGCCACGTGGGTTTATCAATAAGATTGTTACCAAGAACTAAACTCGATTGGACAGGTGCGATCAATTTAACAATAGAATTAGATGCGAACTCACAAAGCTATGGGTTCCACATCGAGAGCTGTAGCTCTGGAAAAGCATCAGGTGAAAGCTTTTTCCCGTATACCACAATCATCACTTCTAATAACACCTCTCAGCATCGTACTCGCCTGCCACCAGGGCAGATTACTTACAACTTGCAATATCATCCCTGCCTGCAAGTGGGCAGCCAGTTGAGATTATTCAGTGGGGTATTCTGCCCTTGTGAAAAGTGTGCACATCCTTTTTTTGAGGTGGGGAGGATCAAATACAATTCCGTTGCTGGGATTTGAACCAGGGTCGCCTCGGTGAAAGCCATGCATCCTGACCGGACTTGACGGCGACGGATTACAGACCTCAGCTAAAATAATAGTAGTTGTATTATCAAAGATGGCTCAAGAGATTTGGCACTGAGAGTTACCTTCCCATTCAGGTCAAGAGTTGTAGTTAGCACGTCAAAGAAATCTCTAAGGCTCTGTGTGTTTCTCCAAGTCTGTGGAGATAGACCTTTCTGCAATTCAAGCCAAAGAAATGAGAAGAAGAAAACACAAAGTAAGTGCTGAGAACCTTACAATGTGATTCTGCATTGCAAGCTTCTCGTGCTCCACCTTATCCAGAATGTCCTTAGGAAACCTGGACCAAGAACATTTCACAAGCACATACAAAGAACTGACTCGTTACCAGGTAAACATGCTGCGCTCTTTGGCCCAGTCGCCCGCGAAGTTTAGCGCTCCAGCAGCTTTGTGTGCGTTGTAACAGTCGAGGATGGAATGGTTGCTACTGACGATCACGGCTAGAAGTTCCAGCTAGCGTCTCCCAAGGCTCGTTGTAAAGCAAAGGAACGGCGCGAGCACCCCCGGCCCCGACGAATTTCACATACGAGGCAGCGATGTAAGATATGCTGGAGCGCCTGGGATCGCCGGGCTCCAGCCTGTTGATGTAGCTCCTGAGAATCCCAATCAGCGGCCGCTTCTCTCGGGATTCTTCGGGTAGCTGGATGATCCTAGCGGCGGCGATCACAGCGAGCGCGAGGAAGTTCGCTACAATGGTTCCCGCATCAATTGCTAGAGCAGTGGACACACACAAGAAACAAGCCAAGATCAATGGCGACGAGCGCCGCCAAGAGCCAGAAGAAGTTATGGTGATCGATCCAGCTCCCGCGTCCGCTATCCTTGCTCGTGATCTTCTCCACCGCAAGACCAAGAACACTACTAAGATAAGCTATAACTCCCTAAAGCCTTTGTAGCGAGCGAGAGCGCACCGATCAATCTCCGCATTGCCTCGGGGGACTCCTCGTTGAAGAACTCGGTCCTCCCGGCATACACGAACACTCCATGGAACTCGATCGCGCAGGCTTTCACCGAGACTCGCCACTGCCGAGGAGATCTTCGCCTGGATGCCCTCCACGAACATCTTCTCATGGACGATCCTCCTGGCGGCGTGTGCGCAGGCTCAGAGCCTCGGCGATTCGAGGGTGCTCTTCGATGAGATGGAGCAGCGCAACGCTGTGGCCTGGAACGCGCTCATCACGTCCTATGCGCTGGGGCGCCAGTGCGATCGTGGAGCAGTGCTTCGCGAAGATCCCCTACTGGACGATCGTATCCTGGAATGCGATGCTCCAGGCTTACGGGGAAACCGGACGCACGGCCTCCGCGACATCCTCCTCACAGCAACTGCCCAAGGCGGGGATTTGCTGTATGGTAGATCTGTTCTTGCGAGGATCCCTCAAGAAAGCGTCGTGTCATACACTATTTTGATCATCGCATGCGAAAAGAAGGATATAATTCTTTTAGAGGAAGATCAGTTCCTCTATTCTCCTGAGAATGATGTGGCGTCTTGGAACGCTTTGATTGCAGCAAATGCCCGGCACGGGCAAATGCGTAATTACATCGATCTCTTCAAGCGCATGGATCTCAAGGGTGCGAGGCCGGACGGGATCACATTCGTGGGGATCCTTAGTGCCTACGCTATCAGCGGCGATCTTGCTACTGGTAAGCTGATCCATCACAGCGCTCTTGAGGGATCATCGCTAGACAATCCTGTGCTGGCCACCGTGCTCCTGGACATGTACAGCAAGGCCAGCGATCTGGGCGTGGCGACGGCGATCTTCGTGGCAATGGCGCAGAGGGACGTGACTGGAATGCGATCATGGCAGCGTGTGTGCGCAACAGGCGATTCGACCGTGCAGAGTGCTTCTTCTGGGTAATGGCGGCCAGGGACGTGATCTTGTGGATGTCAATGATCACGGCACAGGCACAGAGCGGGCAGATTGATCATGCATGCCTCGTCTTCAATGAGATGCCGGACAAGGATCTTGTGGCGTGGAATGCGATGATCTCAGCCCACGATCCAATCTCTCTCTCTCTCTCTCTCCTTCAAGTAGGTTAAGCATGCATGAGATGAACAAGATTGAGGGATTAAGTATGTCAAATGTTGTTTTCTTGGTTGTTGTGAATAGAAGGTGGTGGGAGTGATTGGTCAACCAATGTTATTACCTTGACAAAAATCTTAATATGAAGCAAGAAGTTTCACAACAAGCAAGTAGATTAAAGTCTTATGAGATTAACATAGGTCTGAGCCATGCTGAGTCATCAAGAGAAAATATTAAAACTGTTTTTGTAACCATTGTCCTAACCACTAACACCTAATGCAATGAATAGATGTCACCTGCCTAACCAAAACAACTAGTGAGCTATAATAATCTATTGTTGGCTAGGATGGCTTGGTCATGAAGCAACTTAATGAGCATATAGATAGGTGTTTGTATTTTTGATATCAAATGTAGTGCACCTGAATTTGGAGCCAAACTCCAAACCCGTTGCACAAGCTAGAAATTTATTGTACTCTTTGAATTTAGGTATAGTAAGGATGGTGGGAAACCAGTTTATCTTTGTTCTTTATTTGACTTGGGTTATACCATGTTAAATAATGGAGTAAAGTATATTTATATGGGTGAAATTTAGGAATAAGAATCTATAATAGTAAACTTGATTGCCTAGCATTTTGCAACTATTAGATCATAGGTCCAAGGCAGCCTCGGTTTCCATGGTACCTAGGAAAATCAGGATGATGTTTTTTCTACCAATGGGATTATAACACATTTTTGTTTGTTATTGGACAGAGCAAAGGAAGGCACAAATGTGATAAGTGTCTGCTCTATGTTATGGCTTTGCTGTAGGAATATGGGCAGATCAAAAATCTTGTTGTTAGTGCTAATGGAGTTTTCTAGGCAAATGAATTGATTCATGACAAAACTTCAAATGAGAGTGGTGCTGATGACAAAGTTGAGAGTGAAATTTTTGAAGTTTCTCAATCACCATCAAGGTTATTGAGACTGTGGTTTCATTTGGATTTGGTAGTGGACATCATGACATGAAGCTTGATGTGTAGCCCAAGCAGCTAGAGGTGAAAGGAAGAGTGCCCTTGCTAAGTTTCTTATAGATCTGTGTAACATAAAATCTAAAGTAGTCATAGAATATTTGTGTTTGCTTTTACAAAGAGAGATCTTTAGGTTGGAAAGCTTTCTCATATTTGTTATATAAGTGATGCCCTTTTACTCAAGTGACATGGCCATGTCTTTACTTTCACTTCTTAAAGAGGGTGTAGAGAACTTTACTTAGGAGTTATTATTGTTAACGAGAAAAGCAGTGTAGGTGTTATTGCAGAATTGGAGCTATATGATTATTGAGTGATTTTGTTAAACTGGATTGTCCAACATAACTTCAGCTTCAAGAGTCGATGAATTGAACTTTTATTAGAGTTTTTTTTATCAAAGTTGCTGAATATTTTATTAATTACAATGCTGAATAGAAGTGTTAAATTACAAAGGCTTTGAACTTTTAGCTCTCTAGATTTGCCAATGTTTTGAGTCAAGATTGTTATTGTCTCAGCTTAGCATGCTTTTCCTAAATAAAAGCCTCCTTCATTCTCTAGGTAACAAATAGTGCATCCATACATCATGTATTTGGCAAGTTTCCCATTTCATTTGATCTAATCTTTTCTTGATTTGACTGTAAACCCTAAACCCTGAACAGAGCGGAATGGGCTAAATCACCAGTAAGAAGGTAGGAACCATGTTACAACCACCTGAAGCAAGAGGCAGCAATAGGACTTTGAGGAGTTAAGTGTGTCTATCCTTTGAAATTCCACAAAAGTAAGAGTGGGAAATTCAGTGCAATCCTCATACAACTAAAGAGCACATCTTGTCTTTCCAATAGAGTCTGAGAGAATAACAATATTTTTTAAATATCCTAAGAAACTTGAAGGTTCAGCCTTTGAATTTATGACACTTCTTCTTCTTAGAGCAAATGCTAGGTGGTTGGCAAAGCCTTTCACCATCAACACAAAGACTTCATTTATTAAAGATTGTACACTTTATAAAAAGTAAAAATAAAGTAATTGTTTTCTCAATTTTCTTAAATGGTCAAAAGAATACCAATGTTTATTCACAAGAAATCAAGAAAGCACATTTAGATAGTGCTAAAGTTAAAGTGATAATTTTAATTACAATAATAATCTTAAAAATAATCAATACAAACTTAATCAATGGACAAAACATCACAACCAAAATGGCTATGCCATCAATCCTTCCTTTTTTTTAAGCTTCCTCTAGTCTCTTATCTAGTGCAATGTAACACATTATAAATGCTCGCATCCTAGAGCATGGGTAATTGTTTTTCATTAGATGATGATTTGAGATAGTGGAACTCTAGCAAAACACACATTGCCAAGACTCATTCTCCAATCTCTGAAAATACTTAAAACTTAAGTTGAAATGACTAATCTTTATTTAAAAAGATAAGAGAAAATATATCATCTTCTTCCTCCATAGAAAACTATCTAGGAAAATAAATAGCTTACCCAAAATGGGAAACAATCATCTTTGTGATGGAATCTTATTGAAAACTCCAAGTTTAATTTGCAATGCACAAATACCCTCAGGAATCAAGAGCTCCTTAGCATGAGTGATAAAACCCTAAACCATGTATGTTATATATGTTACAATTCTGTCTTGCATCATTTAATAACAATACAAGTTGTGTTGTCTCACATTGGTGGCTAATACATCAATCCAATTTTTACTAAAACCAAGTAATTGAGAGAATTCTAGGCCTCAGATCTCATAGCCAGTTGAGGCTTACCTTAGTATTTTACTAGCAATTGTGTAGTATATGCTACCCAATCAACAAAATTATCAAATTGAGAACTAAATTAGAATAGTATCAAAATAACAAATATTATATTCCATTTTAACATGATCTAAAGAAAAATTGATAAGGTAACTATAAGCATGTATTTCCTTAGAGAAAACTATTAAATCCTAGAAGCCAGAGTATATATAGTTACAAAATCCCATTACATACATATAAATAAAATATTATAAAATTAATTACTTCCTACAATATTATAGTACAATTTTGTAACACATTTTATTTCTATCCTCTTAAGCTAATTAAAAAAGGGGTAATTGTTAGAAAAGAAAGCCCTTAATAACTATTTTTTCCCTATATCCCCTTTCAAATGTCTTTATTGACCATCAATTAACAACCCCTATTAAACCAAGGGGAATTACCTTTTAGAGATGTTAATGCCTTCATTAACCATCAATTAACAACCTTTTCAACCCCTATTGAACCAAGGGAAACCACCTTTCAGATATGTCAATTTTCTCATTCACCATCGATTAATAACATGATGAAGAGGTAAATGTTTTATCTTGTATATCTTCCTAAGTAGAGCAAAAGAAGGAAGCTTAGACGAAATGGAGTTATGCCTAAGTTTAAGCATCCAAAGAAGAAAAACCCAACTTAAGCGAGAAGCAGTTAGGAATGGTTATAAAATTATATAGTTTATAAATAGCACTTAGACGTATTAGAAAGTAACATCCATTCACTATTGTGTGCATTTGCATTGAATTAACCATTTTTTTTCCCACATATGACTGTTAGTGCAAAGTAGAGTTAAGAGAATGATATATGCTTGTCTTTACTCACGCCTTTAGGGTTTGAGGCTGAATTATATTCTATTCTTTTTTTATCTTCTCTTCTTCTCATCTTCTTTTACATTCTTGTCTCTGTTTGTTTACCATTATTTTGTAGGTAGTGGCGAGAACACGAGTGCGGGCAAAAAAAGCCTTATTCACTTTTGGCAAGTATAGTGGGATAAATTATCACTCTTTGGTTTGAAAAATAACTGGGAGAAAATTGCTTATGAATTCCAAACGTGCCCAACATCAGGAATCATAAGTAAATTTCTTTAGTGATTGTAGAGGATTTAAGCCCAGACAACACTGAACAAAGAAGCTTTTTTTGCGATTGTAATGGTTTAATGCCCAGATAACGCAAAAAAAATAATTTTCAACCGTCTAGAGCATGGGATGAATTTGAAATGAAATACGGCATACATTGCTAAGAAGCTCAAGTTTAAATTACTTTGCTAGCAATTTCTTAAGAAAAATCCAAAAGAAAAAGGAATGGGGTTTATTTGATATGGAAAACACAATCAATTACTCTAGAATTCTTTCCTTCTAAGGAAGTTTCCATTTGAGTTTTTAAAGGATACATTTTTCAACAGTGTATCACAATTTTTCTAAGCATACACAAATAGGAAAATTAAGTATTTATAACTCTTGTTTTTTACTCTAACTTAAAGAGAGCTAAAGCTAACCTTAGTGAAGAACAAATTAGGGAATTCTTCACTCAAATCTTACAAAGCTTTAACAAAGGTAGAATCATAATTAGAATATTGTGCTGTCTCAAAGCTTTGACCTAAAGTCCTTTATTTTGGACTACTACTTAGACACAGTTTGAGAGTAGACTTGTCTCGAGTTTAACTCTCCTACACATACTACAAGAGCTTATAAGACTTAAACAAAACTCACAATTTGAAAATTCAAAAACAGTTATCACAAACCACTCTAACCGTTTAAACTGTTCTACGCTTGGTACATTTAGATGAATTGATCAAAACTCATTTTTTATTTATTTAAACATGGAATAGAAAACTGTAGAGCTTGTTGCTAGATGTAGACATTAGTCTTGGAGACACTACTACCATCACTTTAATCTCTAAAGAACTAAAACAAGTTTAGAAATATTAAAGTATATGGAAATCTAACTCTTGGTACCATTACTATTGTCAAAGAAAGTGTGATAATACATTTAGATTATTTTGTATATACACAATAGAAATGAAATTTATATCTGT